GGGTCAGCTGATAGAGCAGCCTATACCCTCAAGTCTGCTAAAGAAACTGCAAACTATTTCTCTACAAAGTAACTCACAGATCCCAGAAGTGTCAGGGATACTGATACTGATACCCCAACTGACTGGGGTAAAACTGTCGTAGAGGGGCAGCCACGCAGGGCACAAGTGCATTCTGACCAGGGACCAAGAAGTCTGCTCTCAAGATGGGCACCTGTCATAAACCCATCCCTCCCAGGAGGACTCACTTTTTTCTCTTGTTCCAATTGCCTAACTAACCTAGACAAAAGGAAAGCAAGTGCCAATGTGAAATCAAATAATAAGCACTCTCTACATACAGCACGAGTTAGTCATTTTAAATATAATGACTTATGTAATGCTCTCAACAAGCAAGGGAGGTAGATACCATCGATCACTATTTTATAGACAGGGATCTGAAGTCCAGAGAATTTGGGAAAACTGTAAGGCACAGGTAGTCTCGCTCCTAGCTCATGCTGTGCTGCCCCTCTAAAATGCACAGGAAAGATTTTTGGGAGGTATGAGCTTAAGCTAGAAGAATCAGCAACATTTTGACTATGAATTGGAGAAAAATATGAGCATTGCACAGAAAAAGAAATTATTCAAAGATTTAGGAGCAGCTATTCAGGAGACTGAGGCAGGAGGATCACTTGAGCCCAGCAGTTTGAGTCTAATCTGAACAACATAGCAAGAACCCATCTCTAAACATACATACATACATACGTAAATCAGGGAGACAGGAGTATTCGTATGATAGTGAATACAATATAACTGAACCATTGGGTTAGTGTTGGCAATTGTTAGAACAGTGCTACTCAAAGTGTGGTCCATGAACAGATTCGAAATGTTTGTTGCTGATCCACTATAAGACAAAAAGCCGATGCCAGAATATAAACCAACTATACTACCAAGCACCATGGTTGCTTCCGCTGAAATTACGTTCTCATCTTTTAACAGGACTTTCTTGCTGAAGCAAGGAGTGCATTGACTCACATTCTGACACAAGCTCTTTGCCTTCTCGTAGGTCGGTACTTAGAAACAATTGAGTTAGGATACAGGGGACATTGCTATAACAAGGACATTCAAAAATACATTGAGTAAATATGATGGAAATGTATTTCTCCACCATGTCACTGTACAAATGGGCAGGAAGTCCAGGAGATATAGATGGCTCTGCTCCACAGGGTCATCTAGAGCCTCAGGAAGGTGGGCTCTTCCAGATGTGGCTTTGGCTTTGAGTGCAATGTGCGTGCTGTGATCACAGCAGTTTACAGCTGGAGGTAAGCTGGACACATGAACTCTGGGGAGGGTGGCTTTATCCTTAAGAGTATACTTAAATCCTTAAGTATACTCCTATAAGTATTCTCTTGAGGAGTATACTTTCGGCTCACTCTCCAGTGGACTGAAACTATTAATATGAAGAAAGCTAGATTCAAGAGAGACTGTAAAATGTGGCCTCTACCTGAGAATCTGTATCCTAAGCAAAATAGAGGCTGTTTCATTGTTAACTGAAAAAAAAATAGAGTAGAGAGCTAAGCCTTCTGTACCACAGTGATAAATATGGTTAGAGAGTTAAGCTAAAACTACACTATAGAGGATTTGAGATTTAATACTAAAGAAAAAGATTGCAGAAAATAGAGACACCAGTTAAAATAAAATTTCAGTTATGTAAAATAAATAAAGAATATAGAGTTTACTGGCTTGTCGTTAACTCCTTTTTGTCACCTTTTCTGTAGATGAATTCATATAAAAATTCAAGATATATAACTTAATCTCCTTTCCAAGGCAGATTCCAATATAATGCAGTTGTCTTTAAACAATGCTGGTCATTTAGATTGTACTTCACTCTTATTCCAGTGGGATCTGGGATAGAAAAGGCATTTGGATCAAATGCATCTTTTAATTTCATAGAGTATGAATGATCAGTGACATCGATTGTGTTTTCTAGAAACAGAGTCTGGGATAGGGATTCTGTTGCAAATGATTTATTGAAGAAATGTTTTCAGGAAAAACCTGTTACAGGAAACATGGGGCAGGATGTGGTTTCTGGTAAAGTCTAGCCTTGATCTGACCTGCAGGGAGAGAGTTAGTCACACAGACACATGGTTTCACCTTGAGGCAAGCAGGTAAGTGTTTTGCTACCCTGCATCAGTCAGCCGTTGGGGATGGGCCGCCTCCTGAGAGTTCGGAGGGGATTTGGAAGTGTAATTTGCCAGTTGGGTAACTCGTAGCACCAAGGGCAATGCTCAGTCTCCCCAGCTGGGGACCATTGGCAGCTGGCACGGTTGGGGTTGGGGGAGGCGTTGCACTAGCCTGGAAAGAGGATGCTTTAGGTGGAGAAAAGAGCATCCACTTCAGTCCACTCTGTGTATACTCAGCTTCACTTGTTTCTTGTGTTATATTCATTCCTCTAGACACAGTTTTTCCAGGATTTTGTGACTATAATTCCTGGAGAAACTTATACCAGGAGGGTTATTGTGAGAAACTGTAACTCAATTGCTGGGGTTGATCCTAAAGCTTAAACCGATGCTTATTTTCTCCCCTTTGTCTCCTGTTCTGTTTTCCCCCACCTGTGGCTAGCACTTCTTCTGGTCTGCAGGGCTTACCTGGTAGCCCAGGTACAGTCTCAGGATCTGACGCAGTAGCAGCGGCCATAGTTTCCTCCTGTATATTTCTCCAGGAATTATGGCAGAGAAAGGCTGTGCTTAAATAAGATAAGTTATTAAGATAACTTAATTTCTGAAGCAAAGAGAACACTGTGGTAGAATGTTCTGGCACCCCATCCAGCACTTACCAGGCAGTGGTTGCTATGCTTTCCCATTTACAGTTAAAACTGGGTATGCCAGCCTGAGCAAGAACGAGACCCCGTCTCTACTAAAAAACAGAAAGAAATGATCTGGACAACTAAATATATATA